ATACACATAAATTATATATACACATAACATATAATAATTTTTTATATGCGTTGAAAATTAACATGTTTCATCTTAAACAAAATTATTTTCTAGATAATTAGGTTATATTTTTCGGTTATAGATTGTCAATGTATTAGATCAACTGGGTGAATTGACAAGATCTCTATTTATCTTGACGGGTTCGTTTGTGACTCTAATGATTATATGTTACTCCGGTCAGAAATTAATGGATGAAAGTCAAAATATATTTTATCAAGCGTAATTATTTCATATCTTACATACATATTAGTGCATAAAGATTTTCTTGAAATGGAATAATAATGATAATTATACTATAGGGACGCATATGATTTCATAGATTTATTTCGATATAAGATTTTTTCAATAAAACATAATTTAAAAAATATAATTAATATGTTAAAATTTTAGCAATTAACACAATTATTATAATAAATTATCTTATATAGTTTTCCATTGCATTATTTATATTAATTTCGCGTTGCAAAAAATTATAATTTACATTCTCTCTAGATATATAATTTTTCTCAAAAGTATAATTAAAGTTATAAATTAAGGAATAATTATATTTATATTTGTAGATACGCGGCAGAATGGTACAACTTCTCGCCTAGATTAAAATCTCTATTAATCATAATGCTTTATAAAACTAATACACCTTGCGGATTGAAGGCAGGTAGTATGATTCCATTATCCATAGCAACCTATGCAACGGTAAGTGCGATGAGGTTACAAATTTATTTGTTATTTATTTTACTTAATTTTATAACAGCATTATGTGTATATATATAGCATTGTATATCAAATATATTTCATATTTTTTATTTGGTTAAAGGTATTACGAACGGCCATGTCTTACTTCACGGCGTTCTTATCATTACAAGACTGATAATTGAGTATTTAATTAATATTTCATCAATATATGTGCATTTAATTCCATTATTAATAAATTGTAGTAGAGAAACTTATGATATTACTAAGTAACGCAATTATGGCTTTATTCACTCAATCATTTTAAACTTTTTTTTATACAATTTTTATCTAAAACTAGACATTTTATTATATACGTTCATGCTTTAATTATGTTATGCACACATAATACGATATAATTATATACACAAATTATATACACAAATAAAAAATAAATTGTGCCGTAAATTTCAAAAATATAAAATATTTCACACATTATTGTAATTTTATAAAATATCTTTTTTTTATTAGTTTTAGAAATATTTAAAATCAATATCCTTTTATTTACATTTTATCACAATTCTTCTTTTTTTTCCTCATATTATTTTACTTTGTTTTTATTTATTAATTTTATAAATATACTTATTCTATATATTCTAGCAAGAAAATCAATAAAGAAAGCATCTATCGGTAAAATTAACAAAAAGATTAGCACACTACACTGTTCTTATTGTCGCCGTTAATTTTCTATTATATCACGCTTTGCTATTTTGTATTTTAAAACATCCTATAACAATTCTCGAAATGAAAACATAATACTTTGAAATTGATAGGCAGACATGTTCGGAAAATAATAAATTACTACTGACAGTCTGCTGCTTGACATCCTATAATTTTGTATTTTGCATTTTAATGAGCTGCACCTGTTAAAGAATCGATAACATATGCGACATGTGTTATTACGTTGCAATCTTTTGGCAGGGAGAAAGGAATAATCATGTTAGAAAATTTTTTTGCGAGAGTACAACGTCAATCGAATATTTTTATCGAATATAGGTCTTTGGCCATTTCAAAATAGACTGACGAGAAATTTGTTATGGACTTTCTGTTTTTTACTCGAAATAAGTTATTGTCCGTTCGAGGTATTCATCGACAAAAAAAAATCCGTGATTAGCATTTTTGTCTTTATTGTATTAACAATTGTTATTATATGATAAGTTACAACATTGTGCTTGTGTCAGATCGAGCATCTGAAATAGATTATATATTTCGAAAGTGTACTCAACAATTAAAAATTAAAAATGAAAATATGTTAGTTTATTCTGCACGTAATTAATTGTATAACAATTACATTAATATATGTATTTAGAATCTTTATTTTACAAGTGATAACGCAAGATTATATGCAGATATTACTATTGTATGATCACTGGGATAATACGCAAACAATTTTTGAAGGTTTGTACCAAATAGTTCTATCCGCCTCTTTCCTTGTGAGAATAATGAATGAATTTTGGAATCGTGATAAGGTACATTTTTCAAAAATAATAGTGAGTCTTTTTTTTTAATTACGGTTATCTTTATAAAATAATTTCACATTTAATATATTTAATTTTGTTTTCGCATTTATTGTTGATCGTCAGATACGACGATTATATCAAACTATTGATGAACATTGGAATATGTTTACGAATGACGTCGAAGTGCGAATTTTAAAAGATTATTCTACGCTGTCGCGAAAGTTTACGAAATATTATGCGAGTGAGTATTGTCCTCATCACAATAATATCTTTATAAACGCATATTATATTATTAATTGCATTAATAATAAGTTTCGTAGCTTATTGTTAATAAGAATGAAATTAATTTGTTCAAATATATTTAACATTGAAAATTACTATGCTGTAAAAGACAAAAAATTGTCGAATAAAATTTTCAATAATAGTGGATTTCTTATAAATAAATTCGATACCTATAAGTATAAAGCATTCCATTAATTTACATTATTAAAGAAATAACATAATTATTTTGTGATATTACAGTGCTAATGTATGTCATGATGTCAGGATTTATAGTGATACCATTAACACCAGCATTTCTAGACGTAATAATGCCCGTTAACGAATCAAGACCACGATTCCTCGCGATTGAGGTTGAATTCAGAGTAAATAAAGATGAGTACTTTCTATTAATTTTTTGTTATACTACAGCCATATGCGTGGTGGGTATAAGTATCATGGTGAGTGTTGATGCGATGCATATCACATGCACTGCACATGCATGCAGTTTATTTGCGGTTGTCAGGTAGGTGTCACAACAAAATCATTTCCATGCATTTAATGCATGTATAATAATAATTAAACAATAATAATGTTATTATTATAAGATGTTAATTAAACATCGTAAATATAATATATACATTCTATATGACTCTCTCCTAAAAATAAAATTTATTAATTTTATAGTAAGCAAGTTGAAAATATAATTTCGAAAATAGATAACAATAATGAAAATGAATATAGATATCTCACTACGGAACTTAATCTGTCGAGTGAGGAAATGATATATCGTGAATATATAACATGTCTAAAAAAACATCAACTTGCTATAGAGTGAGCTTTTATCCAACTACTTATTAATTAATCTCTTTATACAAATGCACAATATTAATAATATTCCTATATTTTTTGAATTTCGATTTCATAGATTTGTTAACATATTGGAATCCTCTTATCAAGAGCTATCATTAGTTTTGCTAATATTGGTTATTGCAACTTTAAGTCTGATTGGAATTCGAGTAAGAATATAATAATTATATACATAAGATTCGCCATTTGTCCTTTTCCTTTAATTCCTCATTCTATTCTTTATTCTTATTTTAATTAATTTATTTTTATTTTATTTTATTTTATTTTATTAATGTATTGATTATTTTAATATATTGATCTAACCAAGTTGAAAATAATAAATAAAAAAATTTAATTTCTATAATTAGATAATAATTTAACAATGAGAATGCGTTTTAATTTAAATTTAAATCATTTTTACAATGCCAATAAATACTTAGCTAAGCTATAGTAATTTTAAATATATAAAATTTTATCAATTTTTACAGTAGTAAAATAGAATTCGTATTTTTCATATAAAGATATAATTATGTTCTAAATAAAATTATGTTATTTCTGATATGTTGCAGATCGTCTATGTGTTGAATCAATTGGAAGAAACTACAAGATTTATGTTCATAATCATGGGAGCATTGATGACATTGATGATCGTGTGTTACTCTGGTCAGAGATTAATGGATGAAAGTCAGAATGTATTTTATCGAGCGTAATAAAAATTTTTTATTCTAATACATTGCGAGCATAAAGTTTCAATTACAACAAATTTTATGCTATAGACTATTTGCTATAAGAAATCTGTTAAACGCGCTACTTAATCAATTTAATCTAAAATAATTGTAACAAAGTACTTTTAAACGCAATTTCAAAAAGTAATTAATTAGAAATTATTAAACATTTAATTAATGCTTGCAAGTTATTTTACGACAAGTTTTCTCATATACATATGGATCACGCATGCAGCTAGATCTAATTTTCCACTTTATACATAATTTTATGCTTGCAGATATGCAGCAAAGTGGTACAATTTTTCACCTAGATTAAAATCTCTACTACTTATAACTCTTTATAGAAGTAATATACCCTGTGGATTAAAGGCAGGCAATATTGTTCCATTATCCATTGCAACTTATGCGACGGTAAGTATTGCAAAATTTTAAGTTTAATTTACTACTGGCTTTCTACATTATAACAATATATACAAAAAACATATATGTTTACAATTTAAGGTAGTACGAATGGGTATGTCTTATTTCACAGCGTTTTTATCACTTAAAGATAAGTGACTATCAATTTTTCCGTTAGTTCATCAGCAATATGTTTTCATTTTATCTCATTATCAATAAAAAATAATAAGAAAAATGTACGCCTTTGTTTATTCAATAATGCAATAATGCAGTTTATTATTTGAGTAGAAGTTTATTATTTGAATTATTATATAATTTTTAAATGTACATTATGACTTTAATTTATATCTTTGTTCAATTAATTATTATTTCCGCGCAGAATTTTTATAATAATTGTAATAATTTTTATAGTAATTTTTATAATAATAAATTTATTTAAAATATCTGTTATTTTATACAAGACTATGTATAAATAAACTTTTCATCGTTGTTGTATTCACTTGTTTATTTGTATAATTCTTTTTTAGTTTTTGAATAAGGTTAATGCTAATAATGCTTTCATATATTAATTAACTTTTATATGCTAATTAAATAAAATATTCATTTTATTAGTTGCAAAATTCAAAAGCACTTTTATCAAATATGATGTGTTTAAAACATTCCGGTAAAAAATTTTTTATTGAAGAATATATGTAAATATATATAAAATATATAATTATATGCAAAATATATAGTTCAATATATAGTTCATATTATGAAATATATAGTTCAAAATATAGTAAAATATATAGTTCAATATATAG